AACATGTTCAAGCATCCAGAACTATAACCACGTTAATAATGTTTGTAAGAAAACACACAGTTTGTAAATCCATCAAGATTTCAGCGAGATAAGAGTATTAACGTTTGTACAGGTCACTTACCTCCGTTTACCTCAGGTTCGAATGATCCCGCCAGAAAGCCAGCCTGTGCGGACGCTCTAGACCTCGTCATAATACATCTAGTCATTCTATATATATATCTATGATTACGACGCTGAAGTTGGCTCCTTATTCGCAGCTCCTTATTCGGATTTTGCTATTGCGCCTGTAGGGGGGTAATTTTAAAATTGCCCCCCTACAGGCGCAATAGCGTCATTGCATTGGACTGCGAAGCATTTAAGGTGGACCGGAAAATCCGAATAAGGAGCTGCGAATAAGGAGCCAACTTCAGCGTTGTATCTACATTCGGTAGTTTTTTTTTTTATTACTAAGCAAACAACAAGTATTAATTATAAAAATAAGCGCAAAGATTTACATATATAAATCGTTTTGAGAGCCTTTAGGTTAGTAGAGTCTGATATTGATTTTATATACAACTCCACATCCTTAAGAAAATAAAGATGGTAGATGGTGTTTTATTAATAAATTTACATTTCTGGACAAAAAAAATTCCCAGAAGAATTAACAAATTTATTATAAAAAAAACATTTATTATTCTTTTTGGGGATCTTCAAGAAACAAAATAAGACATTCTCCCACCGTAAGGAAAAGTCCCTTAAAATATGGTTCACAACAAACCTGCTAAATTCCTTCCAAAACCTCTGTATGAAAGAGCAATACCAGAAGAGATGGGTCACACTTTCCGGATGATCCCCACAAAAACTGCAGTTAATATTTATTTCTCTTTTAAATTTTACCATATGGTGCTTAGCTGGATAACATTTATGGAGAACTTTAAACGACACTTCCTTCACCTTATTTACAATTAAATATTCATGGGGGATCATCCAGACCGTTTTCCAGTTGATATCTGGAACATAACGGTTCCAATAAGATGTTACATAGGGGAGAGAGACGATATCTCTTTGGAACAAACCGCCCACTCTCTTATTGCTATTACTAAGCTCTTGTGAAAAACAGATTTTTCCCACTATTGACTCAGCTGGGTCAGGGAGGGCGACTGAAGTAGATTGAGAGCTGTCAATGTTTTTATACAGCATTAACGTACCTGGGGGTATGGCCCCAAGCACCATTGAAAATTCTCGGGGACTAACTGGAAAATTATATAATGAAAGGAATTCCTTAATTGTACGTGCAATGAGTAGTTGTCCCTCTCTATTAACCAGCTGAGCCACCAATAGGATTCCATTTTGAACCCGGCCATGATTCAAGGAATAGTGATGTATTTTTATATAAAAGATCTTTGTTGTTCCAGATGAGGTATTTATGTGATGAGAAGTTGTGTTTATAAATGAGGGTCCACGCTAAAGGACCTGCTTATGGAAGGATGAAAGTTTTACAGGGAGCTTCTCAACATTGTAATTACAATTCAAGATAAAGTTAAAGCCACCAAAACGAGAGAAAATATAACGTGGTATAAGGTTCCAGATAGAAGCAGGATTTTTAAGAAAATGTTTAGCCCAATTAATGTTGAATGTGTTATTCAAGGTAGTGAAATCCAAAAAGTTAAGCCCACCTGAGTCATATAGTTATTCATCAGAACAGTTTTCCTAATATAATGTGTACGATTTTTCCATATAAAGTTAAAAAGCATGCGGTCAATATCATTACTAATCTTCTTATCCAGGTGCAAGGAGAGACTAGCATATGTCAATCGGGATATCCCTTCACTGCCTTCAGCTTTAGTAAGTAATACTTTGTCTTTCAGAGATAAGTCCCTCTGCAGCCATTGGTTGAGTTTCTTTTGGGTTTTCTGTATAATCGGAGTAAAGCTTGAAGAGCATCTTGACTTTTGGTCTTTGGAGATTAAAAGTCCTAAGTATGTGACCTCTTGTTTAAGAGGGATATTAGAGATAACATTTGCACTGCAGTCTTTAATCACTAGCAATTCGCATTTTTTTTAATTTAGGCATAAACCAGAGGCCTCAGAAAAGTCACTAATCACGGAAAGGACGAGAGGGATTTGATTTGCATTCCTTAAGAAAACCGTGGTGTCATCAGCTAATTGGCTGATGATGACCTCCTTGTCATCTATTGTGATTCCTTGTACAGCACTGTTGGAAATATAAGTTGCAAGAATTTGTGTACAAAGTAGAAATAGATATGGTGAAATGGGACGCCCTTGGCGAATACCACGTTTCAGGTCAAGTCTGGGGGTGGAGGCATATCTCATTTTAATAGAACTATTACCATTAGTGTACAAAGTTTTGATAGATTTACAAAAAAATTCCCCAAAGCCAAATTTTTCCAAAGACTGAAAAATAAATTGATGCTCAATTGTGTCAAAGGCCTTATAGAAATCCAGAAAGAGAAAGTAGCTATCATCAGGTACCAAGTTGGAGTAATCAAGTAAATCCAAAATTATTCTAATATTATTAAAAATGTGTCTGTTTCTCATAAAACCTGACTGTGTCTCATCAATACCTGTGTCCAAAACCTCTTTAATTCTATTAGCAAGTATTAAAGCCATCATCTTATAATCATTATTGAGCAGACAGATGTGTCTCCAATTATCAATGAAGAGCAAGTCTTTGTTTGGTTTTGGGATAAGCGTAACGAGACCTTGAATAAGAACAACAGGACAAACGTTTGTAAGGACAAACGTTAATGACCGGACTGGGGAAAACATACCTAATGCAGACTTAAATACATTGGACTAATGACAGCAATAACAAACAGCTGGTAAACACAGGGATTCCACATGAGGTAGATGAGGGGGCATGCCACATGGAAGGAGCGGACGAGCAGGGCATGACAAGTATATTGTTCTGGTTATTAATGCTGCCCGTAGTAACATGATTGGCCACTCTGCATTCAGAATCAGATGACCGGTCTCCTGCTTTAATTGTCTGAAGTCCTTGTGATTTACAGCTGTAAAGACATGTATAATATGGGAAACCATTTTGATAAAACAGTACAAGTTATAGGAAAATAAAATTTTATAAATGATTCGAGAGTATGAATAAGAAATACAAAAACCTTACTCTATGTGTGGTTTACAGGATGTGAAAGAGCCATCAGAGTATGAGTTATCACTGCAGTCCTCACAGACGGTATCAATATATTCTGCTCCTGGAAAGAGTACAAACTCTCTTTAAGAAAAACAAATGTTTTATATATTATTACATTGATATTGAAAACATGAGAAATCTATAGAAACCAGGCTGTTTGATGAACTGTCCAGGTTTGCAGGCTGTGTGTTTATTGGCTGCTCTGCACCCTCCCTTATAAGGATTAATACAATAGTGCCCTTCCAGGACCCCACACACTGTATCTGAAGAAGGTGTACAGGCCCTCACTGTTTTCAATCCAAGGCCTGTTTGCAGGAGATAATGAACCATATCATGATATGAAGATCCATATACAGACTTATTCTGTTCACAATTAATATCTATAATATGCAAGTTATGAATGATGTAAAACCAAGGAAACTGTGGTATTCTCACCCTGGTCACAGA